AGTTGCACGAAAAGAAACCAAAAAGTGTCAGACATTATCAAGATTGAGCACAAAATCCAAAATAATTTTTAAAAGGAAAAACATCCGTCATAGGATATATGTCCCAATATGTCTTAATGCTCAAAATACATACATTATATAATATATTATATTGAATATTCACGAAAAAATAATKATGATAACAAAAGTAAATGCTTAAAAGTATATGTATATAMATCAAATTTAAAATTGATAAATATCAGAGTGCATTTTAATTAAGTACAATATAATATTATAATTATTGCTAAATACTTATTTATTTTCGATTTTCAATCATTATTAAACTAAAATATCAGAATAAGATGTATTTAATATACGCTATATAGGTATCCTACTTAAGTTTTTATAGTTGAAGTTGTTTTTAATTAAACTAAATATTTTTGAAACTATACATTTTATTTTAGTCAACGTTTAAGCCCAATTTCCTTGTAGAACCATAATAAGCATTATGATTATCGCTAATATAATATGTATATGTAAATACCTAGTACCTACATATCACATAGGTCAATTAATGATACAAAAGTTTTGTGATATCGACCATGTCTGTTGTTCTAATAAATTATTCTATGAATTATATATATATTATAAAATATATTTATTTTTATTTTTTTTGCTCAATAGGCTCGTTGAAAATCGTTGTTCTAAAGGTTGAGATCTTGAGTTGATTATGTAAACTTAAAATGACAGTCTGACGATATTTTACAACTGGTATTTAAATTTTAAATAACTAAATTTATAAGGATGAACATTGAACTTTTAAGCATAGGTACTAAAATATAATATGATTAAATATTTAGGTTTTTTTAAAAATTATTTAGTTATCATTTTAAAGTCTTAGTGTGGCCAATAAAGAAATGGCGCTGAGCCGCTGCAGAGCATCCTGTATAAAATAATATATTCTTTTTTTTTCGCGCTGACACTATCACGGCAATAAGAGGGAGAAAGAGAGACATAAATTTATTGAAATTTGGCCGAATTACGATCGGACATATGGCGAATGTAAAGTACACGTCGTATTTTATAATGACATCAATCGGATACCGAATAGTTTTAGCTTGTTACGAGTTCACGTATATATATTATATATTGTCGATGGTGTTGGCGTTTATAGTAAGTTTACAGCGACAAATTTGAATGGCACGCATATGTCACCAAAAACGGTTACAGTTTGCGCGAACACATACACACACACATACACAGTGATAATACACATTAATCTTTATATAAAACGTCCACGACAAGGCCAATATTTCCAGTGCGTGACCCTCTTGCGGACGTTCGTCTGCGTATAAAATATATATGTATATTTTAAATACACACATAGGTATAGAAATAAGTGCTCGTTTTTCCCGTGCCATGATTTCAACACGGTTTACATTCGTCCAGAATATGAGCGCTATCATAATGATTCGATTGTTACAGAATAATATTATCAATTCAAAATCTGGGAAAGTTAATGAAACTAATTAACTTAATTTAAATTAAGTTAAGAGGACACGTGATCGATAATCTAATAAAATATATCAGTATAACAAATTATTTTATCAAAAAGAGAATAGAAATGTTCGTATTATTATAGTACCTATTGGATCATATTATTTATTTTATATTAATATTTTGAGTACTTAGGTACGTATAAACGAAAAATTTCAAAATGTTTTTAACTTGATGGATTCTTTTTAAATCAACKGAGAAAAGCTAAGTTATTTCAACTGTCAGTTAAACTAGTTGATAAGAAAATAAACTAACTGTTAAGTTAAGAAGTTAAAAAAAAATGAAAGTTTTAACTATTTATTGTCCATCGCCTATTTTGATTATTATTATAATTATATTATCTTATAGTATAATACTATATTTAAATTTAAATTTTTTTTAATGTGAGAGATAATTTTTTTTGAACTTTTCTAGATAAAATCAAACCAAAAACCACGATGGCTGTGATATTAGGCAGCAAGTAATGAGTATTTTATATTAGTTTAATGCGATCTACACTATAGGTTACGATATATMATTTTATTCATTTTGAAATTAATATCATTATATATTTTAATTTTTAATAGTGTATAGTATTTAAGTTATAAGAGATATATAACAGCAGCTTGTAGATATTTATGCATAAACTGGTAGGTATATTAACTTTCTYAACGTTGTGTGTAACCTTCAAAAATCGCACATTATTTGTTCATTGTTTTATAACAAAACAGATTAATAGATATATTCATAAATATCATGACTCGAAATCTAAAACCAAAGTCTATAAATACTACTGCGTCGTGTATATTTTATTTTTATAATATTCTATAACGATTAGAGAATTGAAAAAAAATGTATTTTGACAAGGCGGGAGAGGGTTAGACGTTTGAATCTCCCGTCTCCCCTTGACAGTTTAATAACTGTTTTTTAAGGATACTGATATTCTTAAGTTTCCAATTCAACATGTGCAATGAGTATGAAAAATTCGTGATTGTCAGGAATACACATAACTACAAAATTATTTCTGGCTCGGACATCGGTGACAGAGGCCACGTATATAATAACGTATATCCGTCACGTCCGACCGTTATCCGCGTATTTCCGATCCCTATAAAATATTATATAATATTATCTGTATATAGTACCAAAATTGTTAACAGTAATTCTTTATTACGCGTACCAGTATAGTAATAAACCACGAGGGAAGAAGGTTGGAAAAAGGCACTATCCATTTGTTGGTTATATATATAACTGAATAGTATATTCATGGTTTATAATATTTTATACCCAGAAAACTATAGATGTAAAAAAAAAAAATGCATTTGAAAATATCGAACAATATACATGTGAACATTTAGGAAGAAAATGGGGCGTWAGTATGTGATAATTTTTAATGTGATTGTTCTACCTCRTAGATTTTTATCCTTGATCRTGTGTAGACCTATATCTACTATAATCGATTATTGTCAATTTATAATAACACGAAGCGATATTTCCATTTTCTGAATTGTTAAGATACATCGATACTTATAATATTTATTGTGTACATAATATAAAGTCATAAAAACAGTATTCTTCGTTTTATTATCCATAATAACTCATATCAATATATTATATGTATAGTTATTTTCATGCGTAGCATTAAATTTGTGTGCGATCAATTATATTATAACAATATAATACGAGTACCTATATCTGAAAAATTGTAATGTGTAAATAGTAACTATATATAATATAATAAAGTTTTTGTCGTAAAACATGCGCATTTATGTGGGTGGGTTATCTACGTGTATATGTTATTGTTTTGTATTACATTATACAGAATATTATTCGACAATATGCCTTTTCGAATATTACAATGGACATTCATTTATCATTTATGTACATATGATGACGTATAGCCGTATAGGCACCAGCTAGTCGAGTCGATTCTGTTTTACAGCGTGTGTGCAGGGAATATGTGAACATGTGAAGCACCATTTGACGAAAACACTAAATTGTTATCTTAACCACTTTGAAAATATTTTATTATATAATAAAACTATTTTGATTAAAAAAAGATTATTTTTCTTTCAAAATATATCTAATATGTCACTATTATTGTTCCAAAAATAAATATCAAATACRTAAATACTATAATATACGTATTTTGACTTTTCAAATAAAATAAGTTAAATCATAATTGTAAAAGTGCCTTCACTGGAAGGTATCTTTAATCCGTCTTTCACGCCATAATTATCAAATTCATCAATTTCACTTTTTGTTCAAAATGTATGTAACAGATTGTGGAACTAAAATTGAAGTAATAAAAAAAATCATAACTATAAGGTATAATAGATGACGAACTAGTTACGTATATGTGCGCTGTGTATTTTTCAAATAATTTTTTTTATTTAAAGTAAATTAATTTAACGAAATATTATGGAAAAATAATTTTAATAGTATTAAAAGTCTGAAAAAATATAATATGATATTTAAGAATTATGTACCAATGAATAATACCTGTATTGATCCATTTCATTTGGGATATTTCCGAAAAAACCCGTTTTAATTATGTTAACAATATACATAGAGAAAAAAGAATACCTAAATACATTTCGATTGATATTATTATATTAACACTTGTTTATCAAAACGAATGATTTCGTATTTATTCAGAACAAATGCAATACATATTCTTAAAGTCTTAACTGTAGTCCATCCTCTGTAAAATCATTCTTTAATTCATGCCAAATGCATACATATCTTTGAAGCACTCACCATCCACCACACATTTTCACCATCCTACCTTACCTTTTTCAATGATTTTTGATGAAAATATGATCTTTTCCGCCTCACTCGACGTATAGTATTCACGCGTTTAATAGATAACTGATTAATAACTTTGACAAAACTATGCCTGCGAAACATCTGTAAAAACGAGTGTGTTGAGCGTTTACTTATTTTTTGAATTATCAAACTTCCAGTTTTATATTATGTTTACAGTTACAGTTATAGTTCTGTATCCCTTCGTGTCATCTAAAATAAAGAGGCCGTAAATTGTTTTTGGAGAGAAAAATAAACTTACGGAATCGGGCTCGCTAGTGACTGTTAATGTAGAGTTATTGTTATAAATGTCTGGGCATGATGACGCTTTCATAGAATTTTTTTGGATGTTCAATATTGCTCCTTTGTACATCACGGAGCTCCTGAAACAAAATGTGTAATTTACATATTTTATAACAATAGGAATAACACGATATATAGGTACCTACTTATATAATAATAATAAAAGCAAAATATATTTATTTATTTTCTCAAATTATATAATACGATATTACAATAGAGAAAACAATATAATGTTTTACTTATGTAAAAGATGTTTTTAAATTTGGCGTGATGTAATATCATTATTGTTATGATATTGTTCGTAATAATCAGGGGTGGAGTGGCTCACCGGGATACTGGGAAAATTCCTGGTGGTCTGGACGCTAAATGGCCCGTTTACCTAAAGTATAGATAGAAAAAAAATAATGTAGAGTAATGAGAGTTTATTTATCTATATAAATCGAATTTAATTGATTATTTCTTTATTATTTTGATATTTTAAATTATGATAAAGCCATTATTATAATTATATCTAAAGCTAAAATAGTTTATTCTTTGTAAGTTGYTATATTTATAATTTCATTAGAACATATTATGATTTATTATTATTTTGGTTTGTGTAWTTTTATTTCGGTTTTATAGTTTTGTTAATAGTTTTATCTGTAAAATACATACACTATAATATATAATTTTAGTACCTAWTTGTTGTTTGCCTGCTTATATACGTATATATTTACATACAAAATTAGATAAAATACAATTTTTAACCAGAAGATGAAAATGTTGGGTGGCCTGGAGGAACTTAATTTTCCTGCAGGCCTGAAATTTTTTCCCACTTTTCGTTCATTAGTGGSATAGGGGTGGTTGGTGAAATGTATTTTAACTGCTTTTAATACATTATAAATTTATAACATACGTAGAAAAATTAATATTTTGTAATTATTTTAATTTGTTTAAAACAATAATGTAAACAGCATACATGTCGTTATAAAAGAAATTATAACTAATTGATAACATTTTCACTCGGAATCTAAAATTCTAAATTCTGTGAAAGAAATTTTTCCGGCTATACCCATCACTAAAATATCATTTAAGTTAAATAAAGTTAATAATACCTWATATATTCCAATTTTGGGAATCTCGACACTTTAAATCATGAAAATAGAATTTGAACCGTTGGGAGTATGATATATTATACACATTAAATCGATTTATGTATTTATACACGTTTTTGGCCATTCATAAATTATATAACGTGCATGGGATTTTGCCAAAATTTACGGTACATAATTTATGAACGATCTCTAATCTAAATTAATATTTTAACACGATAAATGCTGCAATAGTTAAAAATTAATAGATTATACATAAAATGTATACATCCTATAAAGATATATTATATAGTTAATAGGCCATTAAACATTTTTTGATGAAACACTGCTTTAAAATGCATATTCGTTTTTTAGGTATTGAGTTTGATGGGTAAATGATTGAATGATAAACATTTTTTTTTCGTTACAAATTAAATTGATAAAAGTTAATGAGGGTAGTATAAARCTTACCAGGAATAGTTATATATTAATTATATTTTATAATGAAATTTAATTTACATTTTGCAACTCGTAAGGAATTATTTTATTTAAAGCAATTAGATGCTTAAAAAAATGGTTCTAATAAGGTGCTTTATGTGGTTGTGACTGATAATTTAATAAATGTTTTAGAAAAAATTCTGATTTAAATTAAGTATATTTACTATTTTGACTGCTAAGACCACATTTAAAAAAAATAATATTTTTAAAGGTTTGTACAATTTCATAAATTTCATCAATAAACATAATATTATCCATAATGGCTTGAAAACCTATAATTTTTAAATAAAAACATGGGGCGTTAATATTTCTAATAAATATCTCCATGCAGTTAACTAAACCTATATTTAAAATATCTGTAAGATTCAATATTCAAAAGCGTACCTATGTATATGCAATATAAAATTCTATACTATACAAAAAAGTTTTAAATATGTAATAAATTAATAACACTGTATATAACAAGAATAAACTAACTTAAATTAATGAATATAAAGTATAAACAGATATGTTATAGTTCAGTATACATTTGTAAGTATGATTCGTAATTCTAATTATAAGAAGAATGCATTATACATTATAATGTGTTGAAATGGAAAATATTCTTTCAATACTGATGTTATATAAATAGACTGGAATTTATTTAGATACAAAAAATACTATTCGGTGGTATCATCCATTTTATTTAATTTTAATTTTTTGGTGGTAAAATTCAAAGTCAAGATTTTTCAGTTATTTTACTTTATTTTTGTCCTTTCATATTCAAAAGTATCGGGAATCTATTACACACGTTGTAGACTGAATATATTATAGTACTATAATACAATGCATARAAATGAAAAAATTATGGTTTTTTGCAGTGATAAATCATAAATCGGTTAAGGGTATATAATATTAGTATCATCATTAATCATTTATGACATATCGCTGGTATAGATGTATGGTAGGTAACGTATACAAGCACACAAAATACTTAACTTAGAAATAATGTGAAACATTTTGGGACGGTAGAAGTGACTATAGGATAAAAACGATTAGGTGAATACACCTTATATTGTGTGTTACCTTATTATATTGAGCATTGGTACTATATCCTAGATGAATACTGTTCACGTTTTTTTTTTTAATGAAATACAGTTAATTTACTTTTATTTTTATTTATTTTTAATAATTAACCCTCGACAACATAGGTCATTGGGTGTGGGGATGGTACTGTAGGTATTTGGATTTGGTAGGATTGTTGGTACATGTTTGTGGTTTTTGGCAGAATTTTGAATTGGGCATCCATAGATTTCTGCCATGGGAGGGGGGGGCTCTCTCCAGTCAGCGCGAACTGCCCGGAAAGCGATGGCACCCATGACCGACATTAGAATCGGCGACGGTGCGCGTCACAACCGACATTTAAATCCGCCCGTCCACTACACCCCCCAGTTTATTTATTGTATGTGTTTAATCCTTAATTTCAATTTTCGGAATTAAGAATAATTCACGAAAATAACAGATATTATGTTTTTTGTTGTGTGCAGTGGTGGAACTTAAATTAATTTATAAGGAGAGGAAAGTATACTATGTTTTTCAAACGTGTCTAAAAATATATAGTTTATGAGGAGGTTCCACTCTTCAATAATCAAATAATTTACCAACAATTAATCTTTTAAAATCTATACATTATTATTTAACAGTCTCCAAAATCGAATAGAATTGTAAAATAATGAAAATATTTTAAGTACCTAAGTATTTATACTATTTATATTTTAATATTGATTAAAAATAAATAAATYCTGTAATATTCAATAAATTAAAGCCTAAGACATGGGGGTAAGAACTTTGAGTTACAGTATAACATTTTATGGGGGATTTAAAGTTATAATTTGATGGTGGTAATACGTATAAACGTATTTCATATTATGTTTTACTATAATAAATATAGATTTATTGAATGTATTTTCTTCAAAATGTAAGTAATCATATATTGTTGGTTAAAATAGTAAAAGTCTGTGCTCACAAAAATAACAGAATTTGAAAATATCTAGGACTTTTTTAGGAAAAATAAATACCTATCGTAAAAAATATGGTATTTATTATGTATTATTAATATTTATTAAGGATCATAGTATACGATTGATTAATTCACACGTAATGGATCGTACGACTGACCTGTGATATGGTAAACTCTTCAAATAACTGCTTTGAGTGGTGCTAAATTGTCTCTTCAACATCGAGTGGTGTGCCTTAGGTTGCCGTTCGGGGCTATTGTCAGCGGTATAAGTCTGCGGCRGCGAAATAGCCTGCGATTCCAGTGGTGATATGACGCCCGAACCCATTGAGTTTGACTTCTTTGATTGTTTTAACTTCATTTTCATGACCAGCGGAGGTGAATCGGGTCGAAGCCCATTACCTTTGTTGCAGGCCGTCCGGGTATCCGATACATCTTTGCTCACTGACCCATTGTTCACCTGGCTCACACTGCTGCTCCGGCACAATAACAGGTTCGGATAGTTTTCTAGGATCAAGTTGAACAGCGTCTTGTTGGAACTTAACGACTCGAGTACTTCGAACGGAACCTGCGGAAAAACGTTGCCTGGTTATTATATGCAATAATATGTATTCTTTAAAAATAGCTCAGTTAATCTCTGAGGTCTGAGTAGCGTACAATCGTGGAGATTTCTTTTTATAAAATTTGAACCACGATTAATGTATTCCATATATAGGTTGAATGTATTAAAAATATGATATTATACACGTAATATAATTAATATTTAGATTATAGTTATCCAGTGTTATCAGTGAAAAAGGACCAAGTGTCGATCTACTCACAAAAAATTGTTTCTATAAAATAAGTAAGTCTTTCATTATAGTCGATAACCTTAATACACAAATACATTCATCATATTTGATAAATCTTTTTTTATCTTATTGCTTATCACTTGACAAATATCTGAATTTGTGTATTTGGCATTATCAAAGACTGAATTATTATTTCAATTAACCGCTGCAGTTTATTTTTCTTTGACATTGGCCAAGTTTTAAGCAATTAAAAGGGATGAATTGCACATAAATGCATTTGCAGATAATGCCATCAAGGTTATTAACTAAAGAAAAAGAAGACTTGACCGCAATATAGATATATCATTATATTAATAGGTAAACTTTTTGGGAATGGCTCTGAGACTTAGCTCTATATTCACGTATAGGGCTTGTTGGATATTATTAATTTTATTGGCTTCAGTATATATTAGGCGTTGTCTTGGGTTTTTATGAGGCATTGGAGAATTATGAATGTTTTAGTTTGTCTTCTTTGAGAGTGTATGGATCACTGTTGAGGAGTCAAGTGATCATAATTCTACGAGTTTCATAAATTTAGTTAATTATTTTATTTGATATTTCTTACCAATATTTTGTAATTTAATTTAAATATTATCATTGGTATAAGAAAAATCTGATATTTATACATGACACAATACAGTGCACTAGTTTCTATTGTAGAAAATTTAATAAAAAATATTTACTTGTGAACTATTGCAGATGAATTTTTTGAATTATTATTAATATTTTTACCATGTTTAAATAAATGATCTCAGGATTTAAAAAACAGTATTTCGTTTTTTTGTATTTTCACAAAATGATGTATATTTTACCTTAACTTATAGTTTTCCTGATTTGTTCGTTTTCATCACGAGTTTTGCGTCTCTTTTAAACAAAATCTATTAACTGTTAAGCGATAACGTAGGTATATAAAAATATGCAGATTATGGACAGCGTCCAATATTTTTTTAAGTATGTGATTAATACTTACACGAATGGTAAGAATTTAAAAAAGAAAGAAAATGAAAGAAAATTGGCATCAGATGCAAAATATGATGTCCGTAAATTTTGTGAATTTAAACACCGTTAAGAAATAAAAAACATATAAATTTCACATTAAAATGCGTCAATATAGGTATATAAAAATTAAAGGTAGGTACAAAATAAATAAAAATTGGATTTTATTATTATATAATAATAAGTATTATGTTCACATCTCAATCATCTCATAATAATATTATAACTCGAATTAATAAGTTTTTTATAACCATTCATCAAGAACTGGAAACTTTTAAATTGTGTACCTTTCACAATATTAATATGCATTAAAATTTTTTTTTTTATTATTAATAAATTAACCCTTGGTAACTTGGCCATTGGGATAAGATACATTTTTTTTTTTAAAGGTGTTACATAATAATAATAGAAAAGGTTTATAAATTGATTAATATTATATATTATAACTGTGAATAAAACTAGCAAACATGTAGAATACTGTAAATTTTTTATTAGTTTCTAACTATAACAATATATTGAGTAGGTATTTAATTAATATTCACTAGAACTATATTCCTATACCTTTACAATAACATATACCCAGCCGGAGTCATATGATAGTATACCATAAGTTATGAAAAACCAATTTTTGAAGAAGGGATATTAGTTTTTAATTTTTATAATAGGTATTTTATTATTACTTTTATTACTTTCATACTTTGGCAATTTTTTTCTTCTTTTAGTTTAATAAAAATAATTTCTCTATTTTTGGTTTATATGTGTACCTATGTTAATTGATGGTCAGCTAGAATAGCATTAAAATTTTAAATAAATTAAAGTAAAAAGTTGAAAAGTTTTTCATCTACATTTCATCAAATGTGCGGTAGGCTTAGTTTTGTTTAACAAAAACTTAGATTACCTATAACTTTTATAGCCACTCTTCCTCGGAACAAATAGTATAAAATTAAGTAGGTGCATTAGGTACCTACATGTAATAATATAACATTGAACTATTATGCAAATCTATTTTATTTTAGTCTATGCAGTCAGTTACGCGTGATAAATAAACAATTGGCCTTCAAAATTTCAAGTCTCAATCAAATTTCAATTTCCTTAAACCTGTGWTAGTACAACAAATTCATTTTTTGATTTTTTAATTTTACCATTATAATACTATTTATATACATACATATCATTGACAGGTTGTCTGCTTCTGACAGAATATAGATAAAAAACGTAGTTTACTCTGTAGACTTTAATAAMTTCTTTTGTAAGTTTATTGTAGTATTGAAAACAATAATTCTTATAGTTTATAAACCGTTGAATATATGTGAGATAAAACATATATTATCATATTTACGATATTCTGTGATGAGGCCTATTTCGAAACTCGAAGTATATACATTTTACAAAATGTGTGTATATAAATATATCAGAACATCACATCAAATTATGTACGATACATTTTTTTTTTAAATTAATAATGCATTTCTGTGTCTCTTTTTAAGATGATAATAATATAGTATTAGACGAGGGCATAAATTATTTAAAACTTTTGGTCTGGACAACCAGCAAGGAGGGACATTAYTATTWAGCAGTATAATTTAAACGGTGGCTTATGAATTTTAAACGTAGTTTATTTATGAAATCTCATTTACCTGATTAACATAAAAGCCAGCGTGTCAACTCAGGACGGTGCAGGTCGTGACTCCCCCATAACCCATAGACCATTAGCCCCACAAGATATCTTCTTAAAGATTAATTGTTGGTCATAATATACAAAACAAGGTGATATTTTAATCACAATAGTCTCGAGGTATCAAGATAAATTTTCGTGTTTTTCGTAAATGTTACAGTCAAAGGCGTAAATTAATGGAAAAACATCATAGCTTAGGAAAAATTGTATATTCTTAATTTATAAGAAACCATAGATAAATGTTGATTAAAAAATATGTTTTATGATTATAATTTTATACTTAAATTCTTGATTAGGTATAATGAGGCATTTATGTTATTTAAATTTGCTTAGGTTAGGTTAGGTTAGGTTAAGTAGATAACTTAAAAATTGTTATGAAACTTAGAATTGCATTGACAATTTTACTTTTTACAACTTCACCTCTTTATTTTATAACATATTTGTGCATGTACTGACTACTAACATGTAATATGAATACGTATGTAATCTCTGGGATTATGATGTATACTAGTGCAATATAATAGTCAAATTGCTATTCATGAAGAGTTATTTTTTTTCACAAGCCTTGAAAGTGGACACATACATTTTCATATTCCAATACATTTTAAGGCATTTTATATCATTAAAAAGAATTTTAAATCCTTTAATTTAATTACACCCAAAGTTTTRACTATATCAAATATTATTCTACGAAAAACTACATTCAATTTTGATGAATCAAACATATTATATGATCTAAAAGGTGAAATCAGACAAAAAAAACTTCTCTCCGCCGTGAACCTTAAATAGGTGGAACATTTTAACAAAATATGTTGAATAGCATGATAGTACATACTACATATGTGATCAATAAATGTATCAATATTTTATTTTAGAAATTTAGTGTCCTTGTCTCTGTGAAATAGTTGTTAATATTGAATTATTTTTAATTGTTTTAACTTTAATTTTACAAATATAATTATCTTCAGCCATTTTTTTTTTCATAAAATAAATCTAATATTGGAATATCAGTTAGTTATAAATATTTTAATTTAAGACCATTGAAATGTAAAAAGCAATTTATTTATATGAACATTACCATGCTCTCTAATTTAATCCAAACAAAATTTTAAATTGAAAACTCGAGTTTGAAAAACAAATAAAATATAGGGATATGCTTATAGTAATAACGAAAAAATGTCCAAGACATAGTAGTTATTGAAATTTCAAAAAATAATACGTAGATATATTTTTTTTTGTGAGGGGTGGAGTGGAGATTTTATTGACTAAATTGTAATGATATTGTTTTGTCTTTATTTAGGTGATCACGAAACTTAATGATACTATTCTAATCAAATACTTATTTACTCATTGTGACTTATATACATAAAGTATTATTCATTTTGTCGAAGCAGATTAATTAAATTTAAAAATCACCATTAACAATATTTACTCGTTAAAAAAAATATTCCTATTACATCACTCAGCATAATTTAATTAAGAATAACACTGTTTACTTAGGTTTATATACATGTGTATGCAATGGGTAACGGGTAAGTACCCATTTATGTCAAGTAATGATTTTTAAAAGTTTTTTCACTTCACGTCAGGTATTTATGTATACGTGTCTATAAAAAACGATTTACAAAAGAATTATTCTTTGGACGATCCCTAACTTGGCATAATGATAACTTCTAAATGAATATCATTATTCCTAACTCGTTGCTTCCGGTTATTAATATAGCTTTGATTCGTATAACATGTCCACAAGTATAATACTACCGACGTAAGAAAATCACAGCAAATTGTTTGAAAACATCTGCAGTTGCTTTAAAAATATTGTATATAATACAATAAATTCATCACCCACCTAAGAGTTTACTATCTACTAATTTCAATTGTTTTTTTTTTTTACAATGATTATATATTTTTAATTGTTTTGTTGATAATAAAAGAATAAAATACATCAATAGCCGGAACATTAAATTAATGCAAATATAAGTTTAAGTCATAAGTGATATAACGATAAATGTACTACACTATGTGACTTATTATACTGACTACTGTGTTTATTTTTCATTAAAAAAGATTGATCTGTCTATATAATTTTAAAAGTGGTTTTCACTTAAAGTAAGAAGGGGATTTATTCCTTGAAGTATATAATATACTTAAGACCTTCTTAATTCGAACAACATAAAGCTTACTGTCAAAACGATCTTTTTCAACGCGTTATACCATTATTAACATTGTGCATTATATTAAGTCAATATCACAACAAATTATTTCCAATTAAGCGTATGTGGTTACTGTCAACGTTTATAGTGAATAAAGTTTATCAGAAACTTAAGCTTTGAAATCCGAGTTGATGTTAATACGATTTTGGTGGATAATTGACATAAGTGATGTTTTACGTGAGACGGGGTTATTAAAAACTGATWAACTCACTTTTTCGTTGTGCTTAAGGTATGTGGGTAAGTTGATGACCGACCGGAAACAAGTGTTGTCGTCGGGTAGCCGGCGCTCACCGTCAGTCATTGGACTGCGGACGGTGGTGGTKACACCTGTCAGCTTGTACTCGGCACACTGAGCTTCTTTTACCATGCGCCTGTATTGCTCGACTCCTGGATACTGCATGAGTGTGTCTACATCCGGTTCGGACGCGATCAGATCGAATCCCTTGGTCCGCCCGGTGGGCGGAGCAGCTGTTTCGTTCTCGACGGCTACCACCGGACAATGATCGACGATGGACTCTTCGGTGTCAGTCCACGGTTTGGTAGTTACAGCTACAGAATGCCCACTGGTGACCGCGGGTTTCTTCTGTTCAGCGATCAGCCAGTCAGGATCACGCATCAAAGCACCACACACGCAAAAGTTGAAAAATGTGCCAGCCAACAAGAGTACGGTGCCCCGCCAGCCGTATTCCTCGATCGAGTACTGTGTCATCGGCGCATATAGAAACGTACCGATCCCGGTACCACATGCGCCCAGCCCGGTGGCTAGTGTGCGCTTTTTGTCAAACCAATAAGCTATGCTTACGACGGCTGTCACGTAACATAAGCACAAGCCTAACCCAGACAGGAAGCCGAAAGTGAAGAACACCATTTCGATCGAGTCGGCGAACGACGAGATGATGAATCCGAGACCGGATATTATACCACCGAGGATGGTCATCTTCCGACACCCAAACTTGTCGACCAGTGCACTACCCACTGGGCCCAGGATAAGCGGCACGGCCATGAACAGACTACCGATCCACGCCGTTTTGGACTTGCTCTCTTGGAACTCTTTGAGGAACTCGATGTATAGTAGTCCGAACGAAAAGCTGATGCCATCCGAAATCAGGCAAATCATCAGTGAAGCAAACACCACCATCCAGCCCCAGCCGCCGTCGGGTATTTTAGGCTTACGAGTCATCGTTTCCGTAGACGCGTCGTCGTCGTCGTCATCGTCGTCCGCATCCACTTCGTTCTTGTTCAACTCATCCACCCCACCGTACCGGACGCCACCATACGGCACAGATTCCACCTGGACATCTACTCGCTTAGCAGTGCACGGCAGTAGCTGGTCACCAGCGGTCCCCCGTTCCCGGCACAGCTTTTTGAGGAAGTCGTCCAGATAATTGTCGTACTCTTCACCGCCGCCACCGGAAGTTCCACGGTCRCCGTCCTCGTCCTTGTTTCCGGCCGCAGTCGCCGCCGCCGTCTCCGTCTCCGTCTTCGCCACCGCCGCTGGGTCGCGTCCATCGTCGTCCGCTTCCATAAATCCACAAGAGACGATTGGATCGTGATTCGACTAGTGCGAGTGGTCGTGGTCGTGGTCGTAGTTCTACGAGTCCGGCTACAACCGTGGTTCCGGGAATAATCTGTTGCGTTCCATCGTGGTAAAATACTAAAATAGCGTAATCCGATTACTCAGTGAGGACAACGGTGGCGATCAGTAGCCGTGGCGGTGTCACTTCGACGTCCGTTACTCGCAACCAGCTCCTACCCGTCGGCCAGTCGCATGTCGTCACGGTATAGGTCCACAAAGTAGAATGTGTCGTGGTTGTCGTCTCAACGTGGTTCATCAATGACCGGCTTTTTATCAAAAATTAGACAAGCTAGAAGTCTGATAATTGTTTGTTATTGGCCGATCGTGCTCTACAGAATCCACCGACGCATTCTGGAAAATAAAAACAAAAATACATCTATTATTTTTCATGTGATAAATAATTCAACGCATAGGCACGGGTTGATTATATGTTTAATGGACGCTACAAACATACTTAAATTTAGTATGGTTGGATATAAATTTTACAGTTCAATATACCGAGGCATGTTCGTTGCGTAAAAATGTTATATGCTATTATACAATAACCCAAGGGGGGATACAAATAGCTTAAAATTAATCTAAATATTTAGAAATTTTTTGATGGTGTGTATTGTAACAATTGACTAATTACTGACTCGTAATTTATGTCACACTCGGAAAATTCGCTTAATTAACAGAACACTGGAACGAGTTTTTGTATTTTGTATGAGCATAAATATTATTAGTTTTGGCCAATCAGTCGAGTTTTGAAATAGAGCAACAGACATCTCTACACTTTTAAGTAACATTAATATTTGGATTTAAAATGTGTATAGTAACCTAAATCATAATAATTGAATATTTTTAACTCGTATTCCATTTCTCCTATGATCTTCAATAAACCACCCTTAAGAACAGGGTTACTTCGATAATAGAGTACTGAGTAATATAATTATTCAAAAATTATTCAAGACCGGATCGTTTAGTAATTTATTATAGCTAACCAATTACTCTCTGGAAGTACTTGGCATAAATATCGACAGCCACTCGGTTTAAATATACGTGGTAGACAATAGACATGTTGCAGTCTAACTCTAACACAATAATGATATAACTATATATAAGTAATGGAGAAATGATATAAATAATATTTTTGATAATCCTAATATTATGAGTTTTTTAAGAGGAATGGCACATTATTTAAGTATGATGACCTGAATATGTTTATTCACAATTCTTATAGCATTCTCCTTATTTTAATTAAATTTGTATTATTATACTTAAATTTACCTAGTTATAATATACAACTTTTATACAAAAATTATTTATATATTTATATTTTATAGTGACTTATCTAATTTCTCGAATGGCTCTACGCCGAAACGGCACTACGCCGAAACAGCCGTACGCCGAAACGGCCACTCCGAGATGTCCTAGACTGGATAATTTTTACAATCACATTCCATTCAATTTTAAAGTTTTTTATTGTATGACAAAATATTTTTTAATTCATACCTTATATATTTTTTATATCTACATGAATTAAAAAACCAATTGATTTTATCTAAAACTGTTAATACATACAAATTTCCAGTTTTCTGTATTATTTATTATTATTTTTATTGTTTTCATCGATTATTGTATAGATAGGTACTGAGAATTTTATTACATTTGACCCCTGATTGCATAAACTAAATTAAAATTGCTACCAAAAACCACCCATATAATTGGAAATGTTTATAGATATATTTATTATTCATATAGGTTACCGTAGGTAAATTTTATTTGTAATTTGTTTAATGTAGTTGCAATAAATTGTAATATAAATATTATAAGACAACTTTTTATTATGTACGATAATGAATTTAAATATTTATATGGTATAACTATAGTACCTAATATATCTAATTTTATGAAACACTTACTACCTACTCGATTTTTTAAGTGAAAGAACTATAGTGTGAATATTTTCGGAATTCAACTATAATAGGTAGTTGATATCAGTGATATCTATACACATTCCGATTTTTCAGTACTCTAAAATGGAAATAATATTTTCTTATGTTCTTATAAAATAGTTTATATGCCATCGAAAATATAATAATTAATATTTCAAAACTGTATGATAGTGTTATATGACAGCATTCATACTAAATTTATCACGACTGTTACACACACATACTTATAAAATAAATATATATTATAATATTTGCAGCCATCGTATTTGTTGCAACGCGTATTTTTTGATCATAGATAGACTATAACCGGTTAACCTTACCAGTGGATTTTAGTTACGCCAAAATTGTCAATAAAAATAGGAATAAWTTTTTTTTCTTATAGAGTTTATAAACATCGGGTTGTGTAAGATTAAATGAATACAAACAACAAATTTGCGCGTTTGTCCAGAAAATATATTCTGAAGGTCACCTGTTATTTATTTTAAAAATATTGCACACCATAGGTTTYTTTATATTTCTATAAATACATTATGTTAAACATAAAGTYATATTACCCGTGTGTTATTTTAAATAATCGTTAATCGACAACAAAATAATATGTTTATTTGTAACTTCCTATTTAATATCCAATATCAAATTCTATAAAGTGATTTTAACGAACATCAGAACATTATTTAATGAATAAGTGGCGTTTATAGAACAACAAATATCGATGAATTTCAGACTAGACAAAATTCATCTGATATAGTGATATACTATAGGTTATCTCGCAGTACGTAAAAATCGCATCCCAATAACATAAAATGTAATTATTAGAAATAAATAATATACTTAAATACCTAATTAAATTGGAGGTACCTACATGATTAACTAAGTTAAGTTGTTATTTCGATAATTATTATTTGATATGATTATTCAAAAGACCACATTAAAATAGATTACAATCATTGGTAAACAATTTGTTCTCAGTTATTTGATATGAAATAATATTATGAACATTTTTAACGAGCAATAGCATGTACCTACTGTGCACGCGATAACAATAATTAATAACAACTATAGCCAATTCATAATAACTTTAAATTATGAATAGATAGGTATGATAAATATAAAATAGTATATTATATTGTACGTAGGTAATAAATAACATTTACAAATTATTAATGTTGGACAGCTCATAACGACTATGATAGTCAGAATATGGTTATTGTTGACCCTGCCTAGGGTTTAAATAAGTTTTAATTATCATGCGTCTAACCAAAAATTGAAAAATGGTCAATGTACCTATCTACAGTAATTTTTGAGAGTTTCAATTAAATTAAACGTTAAGAAATTCTATACAATCCACAATAGGTGGATGAGCTTAACTATTAATCATTGCGGAGTCCCATATGGCCATATTATTATACCTGGTTACCAACAACATAAATACTTAGTCGAAAGCAATAAAAAACATATTAATCACATTAATAAATGATAACAATAATTCTACACCACACAGGAATACAGGATGAGCTACTATGTTCTATTCCTCCTCATCATCAGGTTAACACATATAAAAGCGATGACCTACTCTTTAGAAATTAAAAATTAATTTATTGTCACCATAACGTTGTTTATTACCGAAACCTTGCAGATTCACCCTTTGAAATGCTGAACATCCTCATTCAATTCCCACTATTATCAAATTCATATAATTGCCACCCAACTGGCAAAACAAAATTTATATTTTATTATTATAATAATTAATAAAAAAAAATAATAATAATATAGAATANCTATTATCAAATCCATATAATTGCCACCCAACTGGCAAAACAAAATTTCTATTTTATTATTATAATAATTAATAAAAAATAATAATAATAATATAGAATACTATCTTTTGTTATAAAATCTTTAAACAGTGTCAATAATATTTTTTATTGCACCAAAATTATAATATAATTTTGTTCGCTCTGTTCCATGGTACCGAGAGATTAATAATAAATAGTAATAATAATTTATTTAATCATAACAGTGATGTCTTTAAGTACCTAGCTATATTTTAATAAAATTCATATTTCGTCAACTTTTATCTAGAATAAAAATGTATATTGGTTTAATAAAGACGAGTAGCAAATTTTGCAATTTTCGTCATCACTTTCCTGTTTAGCGCACAATAATAAAAATAAATGCTTAATTTACACATAGTTATTCACTTATCGCATTCAAATTTTTCATTAATTATCATGATTTAATGGTTCAGTTCAAAATTTTAATTAATAATCATTAAGTATACGAATAATTTGAATTTGGCTAATATATTTACGGTTTTACATTATTTTAAATAATATCCGTTCGTCATAACTCATGCTATATGTATTTTGTGTCTGTAATGAATACGTTTAAGTTATACATATAGATATATCACACAATGAAGATAATATTATGTACATAAAATATTAAGTATAAATATTTATATCAACGTTGCGTTACCTAATTACAATTATTTGAATTTAAATGCCATAAATTACTATTTTAATTGTTAATTATTCTAAATGATTAAATTGATAGATCAAGGCGCTTAACCATTCGCAATAYTAATGATAATATTATAATAGGCATATAATATATGTATGTTATATAATTTATAATTCAATGTAAAAACTACAAGTACAAAGTTTATTATTGACGTACTTATAGTAACGAGTGGTATAATATGATGACTATAATATATCATCTTTATAGGCGATTTTAATGATAATCTACATTATAATGATAAAAAAAACTTGACCGAACACTACGATAATGTTGGCTTCAATGTGATAGATTTTCTTGTTATATTATTTATGTAGTAAAATAGGCCAGTCTTAAGTCCTGAAGTGCGCCCTAATAAATTATAAATACCTACCTATTTATATATATATATATAAACATAATATTATACCATTCATACTTATATATAGGTACTACTTGTCCCCAAATTACCAGGAGAAATAAGAATTCAATTCAGTGCACAACATAAATAATATCGATGAAAATTGTTATGATGTGAGATGCAAATTATTGTGACGTAGACACAAAAAAATTTAACGAGTTATAGAGAAARTAAATCGTAAAATATTGCTTTTAACGTCGCATCGTATTGTTCTCCTCGTGTCTAGAAGTTTTTGGTGATATAGAGTATAATTTTATATTGCCAAAAAAATCATAACCAACACTTTTTTTACTATATAGAATAAAATCAAAATAAATATAATGACATTGTATAATTAGCTGTACTTAAGTCGGATTAAAATTAATCTATATATTTCTATCKTTTTCTGTTTTGCTTCTGTTGAAATATTATATTATATTAACGTAATATTAAAATGATTAATTTTATGATTTTCCACTTCTTTACTCAGAACAAATTTTTTTGGTAWAGGTACACAAACAAATGGAGACAAATTCAACGAATGCTTAATATCCGATGTAAATATCCAATTGATTGATCTTTATATGTGTATATATAAAAAAAATTTCCAAAATTAAGAAAGCGAATCATAAAAGTAAACATTGTAAATTATCATTGTATTCATAAGTATTTGATTTAAATATTTTGCTTTTATATCTATAACTTAAAAATTTAACATAATCGTATTGATTAATTTTGTTTGTTGTATAATCGGAATTTTTTTCATTTATGAAATCTTTTTTTTCGGCGTATTTTTTACTGATTTTTGGTTTTGTATTACTAATTGTGGGTTCTATTTTTACAGACGATAATATAAAATTGTAAATAATTGATTTCCATGTTGCCAATACATTTATCTCTGCAGACATACGTATGACGTATGGGWTATTGAAAACAAATTGTTTCGCATTATAGGTAATTAACACCGAAACACGCACCGCAACCGCTCAAACACTGCAGGTAGCATCGAAATGGCAAAATCGACATCGACAAAAAGGTCCATTTCTCCCTCCCCCTTGAAAGTATAAATCAATACCGTTATCGTAGTGCTATTTATTTCTGTGTGGTATACCATATGGAACTTTGGTAAATCACCTTTCAACCCGTTAATGTAGGGAGATATATGTGTACGTGTACACAGTACTTCACCGCAACAATATAAACCTTAGTATTATAAAATCGAGTTTAATAAATTTAAAATAATATAAATAAACAAAAAAAAAATGTTATACTCAGTATAATGTTGAATATTCGCAAGTACCTTTTTTGTTGAATGTTGAATAATAATCTTTTATAATTTCTATTCCGATAASGTAGGTATAGGTACACAGTACACACCTAAATTACGAATATTATAATAATTTCATTGTTGTTTCAATATCCTTTGCCAATAAACGATATATTTGATTGATATTTTATGTAACGATTGTTATCCACTTAATATTATATAATTATGCATAAATATAAGTTAAAAAAATAGTAAGTATTCAATATGTTGGTGAAATGATTTCATATTCTCACGCCGAGTAATTAAAATGTTAAGAATACAAAGAACAGTTTAATATAATGATCCATCCATCGAACGCAGACAGAAATGAATACAATCAAAGAACACAAAACTAATATAAAAATCATATAAAAATCATAGCACGAAACAATAAACTCATGACAAAATTATACAATGAGAAAAGTGATTAGGCGTGAACTCATTTCAAAATAAAAACTATCGTGCGTGCATAATTCATTATAATAATACAAGTATAGCATCCTTATCATTGTATCAACTATCAATACTTAGCATACGCGTACAATAATGAATAAATAGTATAAATATTTTTTTCGTGCACAACGTTCAGTCGTTGACAAAATCATCAGTATTCATAACGTTCGGATTATCTGAATCACGCCGCGTCAACAAATAATCCTTTGAAAAACTTTTTCGCTTATCATATAATACCTACAATAATTTACGCACACAGATTTTTTATGCGGGTTAWTACGGTTTTTTTTTATTTTTTATTCAGAACCGAGAATTTTTTCGAGTCTGTGTTTTTTCATCCACRCTGTTTGAAGGATGAATATTAACATTATTAACACGTGCGTTTTTGACTCCCAAATTTGAATAAACTAAATGACGTAGACGATGATAAATTATATGTACTATACCGATAGTTGGATTGTTTATTATAACGCTTAACTTAGGCGATAGATCTCTCGTTCAAAAATACGTTGAGGAGATTATTGTTAGTTACTACTCTGTCTCTAAATAAAATATAATAAATCATTATTTTTACAACACATTATTTTTGGGCGTACTAAATGGTCCATATATGTTTTAKATTTGTGGATATTTGTTTATTTTGAAGTTAAAGTCAGTGATAGAAAAAAAATCAAGTATGACGGTCCTGTATTTAGTTTTTATATGATCCCTTTTCGTTTAACTGATTTAAAATTTCTTGACATTTGCTGTAGTAGTAGTAGTAGTAGTATAAAAATAAATATGGTTTTGGTCTAAGTACTGCAAGATAAAACATTCATGACTGATTTTTCGTAAGGTTTTCGTTTTCATGGTTACTATTATTAAAAAAAAAACACACATTTATGATTAATAGATTTTCCTGGTGGAGGAAAAATATCGAGTAGCGTGCTATGGTTTTATATGTTATGCGTTATACACACATCGCCACCGTGGACCTTAGACCATCGCTGCTGCTGCTGCCTTTGCTTCAGATAGCCGTCCTGCCGAGTGGTGCGGACAGGCGTTACGACCACCACTTGTTGGGTACGAGCCTGGTGTGGAACAGTTCTTACGACCCACGAGCTGTCATCCACAGTCGGTTCCAGGTGACCGGAACCGGCCGCGTTATAGTCGTTTCACCTCGTTTCCGGCCGGGCGTTCCGTTCACGTTGGGCTCATTTCGAACCGCGGGGACCGCCGATAGGTCTGTCGTCGAACCGGATGTGCTGCCACTGCCTTTCGCGCCCGAAGCGCACCAGATCGAAACTTGGACGCCGTCGGCCCCTGCCCCTCTCGTCAACGTTGTCGATCTAAGCATCGAAGACATCAGTGATGCGGTGTGGCTGTTGGACGTGGGCGTGGTGGACACGATGACCGACACTCCGAGACGCATMGCTCCGGCCAAGGTGGTCAGGCTGGAAATCGAAGACGATCAGGACCACCGAGGACCGCCAAAGGTACGTGACCATGATTGTGCCACGTACTCGCACCGCACCGTATAATGCATTTTTTTAAAGTGTAATCGTTGTCATCACTTGTCAACTTGTGTCGYAGACGTCTTATAAGACGTTCGATATCAAAACAGCGACGGCTGATACCATGGACAACTGCAGTGAGACCACGTCGTGCCTGCAGTACATCTTGACGTACCGTTCGAGGACCGGAGAACACAACCATTACGTTTTCGTGTCGGACGCGGCCAAGAGCACGGTGCTGGTGCTCAATACGGACACGGGCGCCCAGTGGGCCATGGACTTTCCGCAAAAGTCGACGGGACACGAAGCGGCGGCGCGGGACATATTGTACATGGTGCTGCTGCGGACGGCAAACGGCCAGACATGGCTGTACACCACGTTCATGTCCGGTTGCAAAGTTTTCGCCGTTGACCTCGAGTACATCGATCGGTGTACGTTGGATGGAGCTCAGCCAGCGATCGTCGAGGCGGGACACAAACCGTACCGGATCACAGTGCTCGGTACTGACACCGGGAGTCGCATGTACTTCCGGCGGCCCACCGAAAACGAGATATGGTCGTGGAACGCCAACTATGGGCCATTTCACCGGAACGGCTTCGAACTGGTGTCCAAGGGCACGGACTGCAGGGCCCCGGTGCACGTTGCCCCCGGATACGGTGGGTTCGTTTATGTGCTCAGGAGTAATTTTGCCGATTACGTGCGAAACAACACCGGTTCGATGGGTGCTTACAGCCTCATACAACCTGTCATCACRCTATCCTCATTCTGTTCAATCTTGTCGACTACAACGGTGCCGTCCAAAGCCGATGACGGTTGCTCGTGTCTGCTGACCAACTGATAACCCAATAACTATACAATTTTATATTTTCGTTTTTTGCTTTTCGATTTTCTGTCCAACATTTTTTTTCCGATATACTTTAATATTAATAATATTTTGATCGATTTCATTGAGTTTGTGAATCGTCATATAATCAGTCAATATGTTCTCCCACTTTTCGTTTAAACACACCTAGTATCTAGACTACACTCCAACCCGATCTMCTATAGCCTTTATATCCTGGAACAACTACATCTTTGGTAGATTATTATTGTTACAGAATCGTACTTTATTAYACTAATTTTTATGCAAATAAGTATAGTCATTAATATTGATAATATTGTATACATAAAATTATAATAAATTCATGATTTATTATTATTTWTATCGCGGTATGTGACGTAAAAATAATAAATACAATTTCGGAGTTTCATAGGTTCTTTTTTTCGATAACATATTAGTTTTTTAACCGTCAAAAAAGTTAATTAATCTAGCTCATATCATAAAAAAATTAATCTAATTACTTTGTAATAAAATGAAATCATAATATTTGCATAGKATAACTAACTAATTTACAGGCAGTATGCAACTTTTAATACAATATCATTTCTATAATGTTGTGTTATTTAGATCAAAGGTTATTTAACTTTTTTTTTATGCCCCACTTAAATGTATCACGAATTGATACCTGTCACTAATAACTAAAGTTGCATTTKATATGATTWTTTACTCGAAATATTACCACATGTCTCGCATATAATATTTAATTGAAATTCAAGAACTGAAATAAGTGTTATAATAACTGCTTAAGGTAACCACATACTTAATATAGGTACTGAATTATTATGGTCGTATTTTGCACGATAGTTAAAATATGTTATTAGAAAAAATATAGATATTCATGATATTTTTTGTCGTTATATATAGAATAATATACTAAATTATAATATTTTAAAATRAAACATTTTGCAATGATTGTTTGATTGTGATAATTGTCATTGAAAAAAATCTTTCATAATGGACATGGTGTAGTGGGTCAAGTTATTGGCAATCAAACAATTCGGTCACGAACTGGTGCCCAATATCGAGTGGTTGACCATAATTTTTATACCTGTTTTGAGTATGATAAAAATTAAAAATACACTAATTAATATRTTTAGCAGTATAATATGTATGTATGTGATCGGTAAGAAAAGTTTTTTATAATCACACGAATCTTAGTAAATCGAATTCACTTTTAGTATCGTTGATGGCACTCGATTTTCTCTCATATGAAAAGTCAGTAAATATATTATACGATATGAGATTATACAAAACAGGATGAAKATCGCAATGGAATTTTATTGAAGTTTAGACGATTCGTAGGAGACATGCCGAGAACGTATTTCTCATGGTTTTAGCAATTAAAATAGTAAAAGAAAAACCGCCTTATCGAAATACTTTACGCTTTTTGTGGAGTWAAACAATTTTTAATATCGGAATAATAACACGTCTTATCCGAAACGCGTCGCATGAAATAGGTCAATCATTTTAATTATTTTTTTCCAAGAAAACCCATGTATACGGATAGTATATAACGTGTGTAATAGTGATAATAAAATATTAATTCGCTAAATAACTATCACATTGATYATGGATATTTTATATCGTATCTCTACGGAACATTATCAATTTATATATTATATTATGTTATTAATTGTTTTCCGAACATTCACAGATATCATTAATCTTGGCCTAATATAATATTATATATAATATTTATATAAATATATACTACCCTATAGCGGCTATAGCTAGGCAACTATAAATAAATAATTTTAATAGATATTCTATTCATTGTAGTATCTACCGATTATTTATATATTTTCTAAAGGTAGGCGTTCATCAGGATTCAAAATTGCTTATATCATGTTGGCCTGTCGGGTGACTTAACATGAAA